GATCAATTCCTTAGGAATTTTATAAAATTTTGAATGTTCACAGATAGTGAGATAGAATGAAAGCATTTATTAACATTATTTCAATTTATTTGAGTTTAAAATATGCATGACTACTGTAATTTCAACTACTAGGGAATGCAAGATAATGAAAACTTGGTGTTCCTGAAAGCCTGCTTTGGGGTCAATGCTTCAAATAATGGCCCATTAATAATTAATCTTCTTTGAGGTAGCAGTTTGCATCAGAACAGTGACAACTTCAACATATGAAATAAAATTATATATCATTTCAAGTTTCTATCCCCTTACTGTATTTTTGTTTACTTCAGAGTAACCCCGTCTGACCACCTGACATTATGTGATGTATTTGCCTCTTCACTGGGATTTAAGCTCCGTGGAATTTAATCAGGCTGTACATTTTCACTGCTTCATTGTCAGCATTTAACCTGGTAAACTCAAAAGCATCTGTTGCACAAATAAAGGCTTAATTTTCCCTCTTATTGCAATATTTTCTAATTCCAAAGAAAAAGCAGAGAAAACAATATTATTGTACTGAAATAGAGTATGACTGCAAAAAATGTCATCTGTGGAAATAAAAATGGATCTTCCTTGAAAAATACTCTGGAATTATAGCTAGTGGGCCATAAACATCATTAAAAATAGAGGTGATTTGCGATGATACCACATCGTGTAATGCATAAGGGATTACATACTTAAGAGTGTGCAAACTCATTTCAAGATATGGTGTGGTTTCTACTCTAAGGACAGAAAATAAGATGGCCTGGTGAGAAAAGGAGAGGCATGGGATATAGAAGCATGTCTCTGTTTGCAGGTGCATTATATATAATGTATGAAGATGACAAAATCCTATACCTATAGGCCTATGGCCACTGGTTATGTTTTCATGGGTCTTCTCCCATGCACATCTTAAGTACTTCCCTATGTATTAATGACCCCTATTGACAGACTTGCTGATCAAAGCCTGTGGCAGGCAGAAATCTACATGTCCTAATCCCTGGAACCTGTGGCTGTGGCAAGATATCATCCCTGTGATTATGTTATGCTATATGGCTCAGTTGATTTTATGATAAGGAGATTTTCCAGATTAATAATATGTGATCATGTGAGCCATTTTAAAAGCAGGAAGTTTTCTCTGGCTGGTGGTGGAAGAGGATGTCAGAGGGATTCAAAGCAGAACAAGGACTCAATGTACCCTGCTAGTTGGCAAATAGAGGGGGCACATAGAAAGGAATGTGGATGACCTTTAGGAGCTGAGACTGGTCTGTGGCTGACAGCCAACAAGGAAACAGGAACTTCTGTCCTGTAACCTCGAGGAAATGAGTTCTGCCACAAGGACATGAGCTTGGAAGAGAACTGTCAAGCCTCCAGATGAGAATGTGGCTCAGCTGACACCTTAATTTCTGCCTCATATGGCCTCAAGAGCCATGAAGTGCCAGATACTGAGCAGAAACAGAGGGGCATTGTTGTAAGCTGCCACATTTGTGGTACGTTAGACAGCAATAGAAAATGATATAGAGCCAGCCATCCATGCAAAATGTTTTGGGAGCATAACTTTGCCAGGAAATTAGGAGAGCACATAGCTAAGTACAACTTGTCTGTCAAATCCCAAACCTCTCGAGTTGTCAACAAATTCAAATTATATCAGTTAGGTCTACCTCTCCTGTTTGGTCCGTAGACCACCACCAACTAGACATCTGCCAAAACTTACTCACTTTGCTAGTTCTTCATTGATGCTTGCCACCAATCCTGCAATTGACTTTTATCGATTTACAATATCGAGGAACTGATCAATACCTTTAAACATAGTATGCTTTATCTTAAATATTTTTTAAAAGGAGGTAAATTGAGTTAGAACAGAATACAGGCAAAATTTAACCATTAAATTTGAAAAAATAGAATCTTAAATTTCTGATGTTTTGATATACGTATACATGGTGAAGTGATTGCCACAGTCATGCGAATTGACACATCACCTCGTGTGTTACTACTTTCTTCTTTGTGGGGTGTGGGTGTTAAGAAAGGTAAGAGCTACCCACCTAG